GGATCATGCCCTGAGCCGAAGGCAGATGCTTAACCGACTGAGCCACCCCGGTGCCCGTTTTGTTTGTTTGTTTCTTTGTTTTGTTTTGTTTGTCTTTTAAGATTCCACATATAAGCGATCCCATATGGTATTTGTCTTTTGCTGTCTGGCTTACTTCACTTAGCATAACGCCGTCCAGATTCATTTGTGATGTCACAAATGACAGGATTTCCTTCTTTTTTTAAGGCTAAAAATTATTCCTGTGTATGTGCATGTGTATGTGTATAACATTTTCTCAATCCATTCGTCTGTCATCTGACACTTAGGTTATTTCCATACCCTGGTTATTGTGAATAATGCTGCTGTGAACACAGGAGTACAGATATTTCTTTGAGGTAATGATTTAATTTCCTTTGGATGTATACCCAGAAATAGGATTGCTGAATCATATGATAGTTCTATTTTTAATTTTTGGAGGAACCTCCATACTGTTTTCCAGAGTGGCTAAACCAACTTCTATTTCCACCAACAGTGCCACAAGTATTCCTTTTTTCCCACATCCTTACCAACCTTTGTTATATCTTGTCTTTTTGATGACAGACATCCTAACAGCTGTGAGGTAGTATCTCATTGTGGTTTTGATTTGCATTTTTCTGATGATTGGGGATGTTGAGTACCATTTCATGTACCTGTTGTACATTTGTACATCTTCTTTGGAAAAAATGTTTATACAGGTTCTTTGCCCATTTTTTAATTGGATTATTTGTTTTTTGCTATTGAGTTGTATGAGTTCCTTGTATATTTTGGATGTTAACCCCTAATCAGCTTTGCAAATTTCATTAGAGTTGCAGGTTTGCAAATATATTCTTCCATTCCATAGGTTGCCTTTTCATCTTGTTGCTGGTTTCCGTAACTGTGTAGACCTTTTAGTTTGAAGTAGTCCCTCTTGTTTATTTTTGCTTTTGTTGCCTTGGCTTTTGGTGCCAAATTCAAAAAATCATTACCAAGGTTGATGTCAAGGAGCTTACCCTTGTCTTTTCCTAGGACTTCTAAACATTTATATCTGTAATCTATTTTGAGTTGATTTTTGTGTGGTGTAAGATAAAGGGTTAGTTCATTCATTTGCATATGGCTGTCTAGCTTTCCCAACACCATTTATTGCAGAGACTCTTCTTACTTCATTGTATATTCTTGACTGTTTTGTCATAAATTAATTGACTAAATGGGCATGGGTTTATTTCTGGGCTCTCTAAACTGTTCCATTGACCTATATGTCTGTTCTTATGCCAATTCTATACAGTTGTGATTACTACAGCTTTGTAATATAGTTTGACATCAGGAATTGTGATGCCTCCAGCTTTGTTCTTTCTCAAGATTACTTTGGCTATTCAATGTTTTTTGTAGTTTCATACAAATTTTAGGATTTTTTTTTAATTTCTGTAAAAAATACCATTGTAGCTTTGATGGAGATTGCACTGAATCTGTAGATTGCTTTGATTGGTTTGGGCATTTTAACAATATCAATTCTTCTAATCCTAGAGTATAGAATATCTTTCCATTTATTTATGTTGTTTAATTTCTACATATTTGTGAATTTTCCCATTTTTTTTTCCTTAAAATTGATTTCTAGTTTCATACCATTGCGGTCAGAAAAGATGCTTGGTGTGATCTCATTCTTCTTAAATTTTTTAAGATTTGTTTTATGACCTAACATGTGATCTATCCTGGAGAATGTTCTATGTGCACTTGAGAAGAATGTGTGTTCTCTGCTGCTGTTGGATGGAATGTTCTATATATGTTTAATAGGCTCATCTGGTCTCATGTGTAGTTTAAGTCCAGTGTTTCCTTATTAGTTTTATGTCTGGATGATCTAGCCATTGTTGAAAGTGTGGTATTGAATTAAATCATTTTTTAAAGATCCTGGATTTTTTTCCCAAAGTTTTTATGTAAAGTTCTATATCTTTTTTTCTATATCTAATTCTTTTTTTTAATAAAAGATTTTATTTATTTGAGAGAGAGAATGAGGGAGAGAGAGCACATGAGAGGGGGGAGGGTCAGAGGGAGAAGCAGACTCCCTGCTGAGCAGGGAGCCTGATGCGGGACTCGATCCCTGGACTCCAGGATCATGACCTGAGCCAAAGGCAGTCACTTAACCAACTGAGCCACCCAAGCGCCCTCTATATCTAAATTCTTAAATTAAATTCCTCATTTGCTCCCTTTTTTCTAAGCATATAAAGCTACCAATATAGAGTCTGACAATGGCACACCTCCATTCCACGCTTCTCATCCTTTGTCCTGTGCTGTGTCATGTGCTTTGTTTTTTATAAGCTACAGAATTCATAATACATAGTTACTTTTCTGCTTTGAAGATCTAGTTATATATATATATATTTTAAAGATTTTATTTATTTGTTTGCGAGCGAGAGAATGAGAGATAGAGAGCGCGAGAGGGAAGAGGGTCAGAGGGAGAAGCAGACTCCCTGCTGAGCCGGGAGCCCGATGTGGGACTCAATCCCGGGACTCCAGGATCATGACCTGAGCCGAAGGCAGTCGCTTAACCAACTGAGCCACCCAGGCGCCCACATCTAGTTATATTTGAAAGGAATTTAAAGTGATAAAATATCTTTTCTATTTACCACATATTTACCATTTTTTAGTGCTCTTCAATTCCTTTGTATTTATTTACCACATATTTACCATTTTTACTGCTCTTCAATTGCTTTGTATAGATTATAATTTCTACGTGTTATTTCCTTCTGCGGAAGAACTTCCTTTGACATGTCTTGTAGTGGAAGTCTGTTAGTAATGAATTCTCTTAGCTTTCGTTTTTTTTAAAAGTTGATTTTTTTCGTCTTCTATTTTGAGGGATAATTTCACTGAGTATAAGTAGAATTCTAAGTTGACATGGTTTAATTTTGTTTTTGTTTTTTTAATTTCAGTATCTTAAAATGTTTCTTCATTGTCTTCTGACCTGCACATTATCTGATGACAAATCTGCTGTACTTCTTATCACCGCCACCCCCCCCCCCCGGCTTTGTTTGCTTTTAAGATTTTCTCTTTCATTGGTTTTTAGCAATTTGATTCTAATGTGCTAGGGTGTAGATCTTTTTTTTTTTTTAATTCTACTTGTGGTTCTTTGAAATTCTTGAATCTGTAGGTTTATAGTTTTCATCAAATTTGGTAAAATTGTGGCTCTATTTCTACTACTATTTTTGCCTCCCCCCTTTTTTTTTCCAGGAGTCCAATTCCATGTATGGTAGACTTCCTGGTAAGAAACCACGTATCACTGATCCTGTGTTCATTTTTATTTTTAGTCTTCATTTTTTCTATTTTCCATTTTGGATAGTTTCTTTTGCTCTGACCATTTATTATGTTGTATGTACTCTGCTGTTAGTCTCAGCCAATATATTTTTCATTTGCTGCTATTAATAGTATCCAGAGTATTTTTTATTGCAGATGCTATATTTTTAAAATTTAGAAGTTCCATTTGAGTCTTTTTTATATCTTCCATTTTTCTCCTCATCATGGTTATGCATTCCTTTACTTATTAAAGATATGGTATCTCGGCTCTTTCCATAGTTTGGCTATGGTGGACACTGCTGCTATAAACATCAGGGTGCATGTACCCCTTTGGATCCCTACATTTGTATCTTTGGGGTAAATACCCAGTAGAGCCAAGATATCCATCGACAGATGAATGGATAAAGAAGATGTGGTATATATATATATATATATATAGGAATATTATGCAGCCATCAAAAGGAATGAAAACTTGTCATTTGCAACAACATGGATGGAACTGGAGGGTATTATGCTGAGCGAAATAAGTCAATCAGAGAAAGACATGTATCATATGATCTCACTGATATGAGGAATTTTCAATCTCAGGAAACAAACTGAGGGTTGCTGGAGTGGTGGGGGTGTGAGAGGGATGGGGTGGCTGGGTGATAGACATTGGGGAGGGTATGTGCTATGGTGAGTGCTGTGAATTGTGTAAGACTGTTGAATCACAGACCTGTACCTCTGAAACAAATAATACATTATATGTTAAAAGAAGAAGAAGAAGAAGAAGAAGAAGAAGAAGAAGAAGAAGAAGAAGGAGAAGAAGAAGATAGCAGGAAGGGAAAAATGAAGCGGGGGGAAATCGGAGGGGGAGATGAACCATGAGAGACTGTGGACTCTGAGAAACAAACTGAGGGTTCTAGAGGAGAGGGGGTTGGGGGAATGGGTGAGCCCAGTGATGGGTATTAAGGAGGGCACGTACTGCATGGAGTACTGGGTGTTATACACAAACAGTGAATCATGGAACACTACATCAAAAACTAATGATGTAATGTATGGTGATTAAGATAACATAGTAAAATTTAAAAAAAGATTATGAAATTAAAGATATGGTAAATATTTTTATAGCTGAATACTAAAAAGTATTTTTTTCTGCTAGTTTCATCCTATATGTCATTTCTGGGTTTGTTTCTATTGCTTGATTTTTTTTTTTTCTGCTTTGTGTCACATTTTCCTGTTTTTTGCATGCCTAGTAATTTTCTTAATGGATCCTGGGTAGTGTGAATCTTGTATTGATTGCTGGATTTCATTTTATTCATTTAAAGGAAACTGTATAATCTAGTTCTATACACTTTTCAGCTCTTGCTGATTTCTGTTTTATGGCTAATGGTTTTTCTTTTTTGCCATTATAGATATGGATTTAAATTTTTCGTATGTTTTCATTAGTATTTTTAAAAAAATTGTGGTTGAACCCCGGAAGATGTTACATATATATCTATCTTACCTGAAGTTCAGCATCAAGGAATAATATTGGCTGCTTGGATCTGCACTGGGCATTTGAAGGAGGAAATTTTTAAGCTAATACAGAGTTCACTCACACACAGAGGCTTGGCTATTGAACTCTTCAATTTCCTTCACAATAGGGATAGCCCAGGTGCTATATTAAAACTGGAGGAATCAATATGGAATAAGGGCAAATAAGGTAAAAGATTTTTATATTTCTCTTTTTTCCATTGCAGGCATATTCCCTGGAACCTTCATGAGCCAAGAAAAGGATGGTTTTATTTTACTGCAAACCTGGATTTCATGTATGTCTTAATGTCGAGGTTGCCTGTTTCGATGGCTCGAAGACAGGGGTTAGGGTCTGTGGGATCAGATGAACAAAGGCACCTTACTTTCTGTTTGGGAAATCATCAGGAAGCTCTGATAATTCTGTTCCCTGAATGATAAACAGTAACAAAGCGAATCATCATTTGTGATTCGCTTGACATAAATTAATATGCCCTGGAATATGAAAATGATCCACCCATTGGGCTGATTTATAATTAAGATCTTGTACTTTAGTAAGATGATTGGAAGACATAGTTTACTGCTTTCAGTAAATCTTTAAGGAAGACTTACATTTGATAGTTTTTTCCCCAAATTTTAACTGGGAAACGCCTGATGTCACTTAGACCTAGGATATGTGTGAATTATGCAATTATTAAAATCATCATAGTGAATAATTGGAAAAAATTTCTGTTCCTGGATTGAAGCCTTCTTGAGAAGTGAATCTGTTATTTGCAATAAGGCCTAGACCTTAGTGTCTGTGGTGCATTTTACTTAGAGTGTGGTTTAGAAAGTTTGCATCTTAATTGATGCAGTTTTAATCCATTATGAAGAACCTGCTGTCTCAGTTATAAGATGTTATTTCTGGGCTATAGTTTACAAGGTTTCTAAGATATGGCACAGAGTATAGATGGTCCCCAAGTTACAACGTTCTGACTTACAGTGTTTTGACTTTCTGATGGTGTGAAAGTGATATGCATTTAGTAGAAACTATACTTCAAATTTTGAAGTTTTGTCTTTTTTCAGGCTAACAATATGTTGTATTATACCCTCTTATGATACTGGACAGCAGCAGCTAGTGTAGTTCCCAGCCAGCCATGCAATCGTGAGGGTAAACAGTGATATACTTACAACCATTCTATTTTTCATTTTGAGTATAGTAGTCAATAAATTACATGAGATATTCAACACTTTACTATAAAATAGGCTTTGTGTTAGATGATTGTGCCCAGCTGTAGGCTAATGTAAGTGTTTTGAGCACATTGTAGAGTAGGTTAAGCTAAGCTATGAGGTTCAGCAGGTTAGGTGTATTAAATGCATTTTTTTACTTACAATATTTTCAACTTATGATGGGTTTATTGGGATATAACCCCATCTGAAGTTCAGGAAGATCTATAATTGTTTATTTAAAAATATGTATTAGCTATCTGCTAGACTTCAGACATTGTCTTTTGTGCAGGAGATGGACAGACAATACATTTTGTACTGTCAAGACTAAATATTCTCTATGGAGAGGGAGACAAATAATATACAAAAAACACACAACCCAAATTATGGGAACAGATCAGGAAAGACAACAGTGATGTTATAGCTGAAGTAATTTAAAATGTTGAGTAGGAATTTGCTAGAGGGACCTGAGTGGTATTTAAGGCAGAGGGTCCAGCAAGGGCAAAGTCAGAAATGTGAGAGAACATTTTTAAGTTAATTAAGGCGATGTTAGCTACTGTAACAAGTAAGCCTCAATGTCTTTAACAATAAAGGGTTATTTTCATTTAAGTAAAATCTAAAATAGGTATTCCTGGTAAGCATTGTGTCTCTCTTCCAAGAAATAATTAAGAGATTCAGGGTCTTTTTATCTGTGGCTTCACCATCTTCATCACATAGCTTCCAGGCTGCTACTCTTACATCTGCATCAAGTCAGCAGGTGGAAGAGAGAGCAGGGAGAATCTTTTTAGGAAATTGGAACACATTGCCCCTATTCACATTCTGTTGGCTTGAAGTCAGTCACATAGTAACACCTCAGTGCCTGGGACGCTGGGAAATGTAGTTGAGCTGTGTGTCCAGGAAGAAAAGGGAATGGCTTTGGTGATTAACTTTCTACCATACATTATATTTTCTGGGAACTGCAAATAATGCTGTCTGGTTCTCCTATTAGTTTAAGTAGAAGAAATGCCAAAAAATAAAGCTGAATAGATAGTAGACCACATCTTGCTTTTATATTTACTATGCTTCGCAATTTGGAATCTTTTCTGAAGTCATTGGGAGTCACTTGAAGAATTTTAATTTGGCAAGTTTGTATGTGCATTTAGAAAGATTGTGCCAGCAGTATTTTAAAGAGGCAGAATAATACAGTAGTTGATATTTCATTTCTGGAAGTTCTCTGCCCGATTGTACGTTTAGTTCTTCCATTTACTGAAAATATGACCTTTAAGAAGCTCTGACTTGTTTAAGCTTTTATTTTCTTATCTGTAAAATGGAGACAATATTGATACTTATCTCACTGAATTGTCAAATAAAATAATAGTCTTAAAGAAGATGATAGTGCCAGATGCCGATACGAGGTAAAAAATTAACTCCTATTTTTGTTGATGATGATGTTTGGTGTGACTGGAGAAACACTGGAAGAAGGTTAGAAGAGGGGAGGAAAGCAGCCAGAAAACCACTGTAATAACTCAGGTGTGAAATGATGAGTTCTTTAATAAATGTGGTGGTAGTACTAGCAATTAAGAGGAGTTTCCTGTTTGAAAACATTAAGTAGGAGGAATAAACATGATTTGGTGACTTACTGAAAGTAGGAGACACAGAAGAAGGAGGAACAAGATTTGTAAGTGTCTGCCTTACCGCAGCTTTCTTGCATGGTGGTGGCAGATACACGGGGAGGAGTAGGTTTCTGGACTTTCTGTTCTCTAGCACATTGAATGAGCCCCTTTGTATTGAGTGTAGGGATCTATATCCCCCGGGTTCATGTCACCTACAAGGATTTTTGTAGACCAGGATGGGAGTTCTACCCATTCTAACCTCAGAAGAGACCTCAGTGAGCTAAATAGCAGTGATTCCAGTTCTCAGCCTGAATAATATATGATCCTTATTGCTTCACTTCCCAGGACTTTTATAGCCATGGCTTCGGAGGTGGGGCTGTGGGTCATTCTGTGTCCAGGCCCCTATATTGGTAGCGACTTAGACCTTGGAGGCTTACCCAGGTAAGTTGTTATCTGAGGCCCCTGGCCATGACTCCACATGGGCCCCTAGCACATTCAAATGGAAGTTAGAGCAAAGAGTTTTGCTGGTTTTCTGTGTACATTTTTAAACTATACTATTTTCCTACTTAATGACATAGAAAATGAACTTTGATTTACTGGAATTTAATAATATGTGTTTGTTTTATGTAAACCTTCATCTCATTTCTGCAGTGTAAATAAGGTAGAGTACTTTTTTTATTTTAGTAACAACTAGTGGCTACCACCTAATACCTTTGTAAGTTCTAGTTTATTGTGATGGAGGTACAAATAGTAAGAATTTGGGTCGATTATCTCTTTCTAAAGAGGGGTTTACCCTTTTGTTAGCTTCTAATCATTTTTTATTGTAGTAAAATACACATAACATAAAAATTTACCATTTGGAAGTGTACAGTTTTGTGGCAATTAAGTACATCAAAAATGTCAAACAACCATCACCACTCACTAGCACAAGACTTTTGTCATCCAAAAAGGAAGGCCTACGTCCAGTCAACTCCCATTATTCCTTCTTCCAGCCCCTGGCAACCACCAATTTGCTTTCAGACCAGTTGGTTTGCCTGTTCTGTATATTTCATATAAATGGAATTATAGGATATGTATAGGATATTTGTAACTGGTTTCTTTGTAATGTTTTCAAGATTCACCCATGTAGTAGCATGTACAGTTCTTCATTCCCCTTTTACGGCTAAATAATATTCCATCAAAGAGCATTTTTAAAAAACTCTGAAACAGCTTTATAAAAGTCTCACTCCAGACTAGGGGTTGGTAAACCTTTTCTGTAAAAGGCCAGATAATAAATGTTTTCTGCTTTGAGGACCACATACACAGTCTGTTGTGACTACTCAATCCTGCTCTTGTAGCATGAACAAAGCTGTGACAGTATGTAAACAAATGGGTGTGGCTGTGTTCCAATAAAACTTTATTTACAGAAACAGACAATGGCTCTGATTTGGCCTGTGGGCTGCAGTCTGATGACTCTGCTCTGGATCGTTTCATCATTACACAACTCTGATGTGTATTTTGAGGAAAGAGGTGGTGGCTAAGGTGCTGAGCTATTTGCAGCTAGAACGCAGATTGCTTTTTCTTAAAGATGCATTGAGATCTCACAATATACGGTTCCAGTGTGGCTGTCCTTGTTTTCCAACCTCATGCTTGAGTATTTCTTATTGCTATTTCCCACCCCAAGAATGATTCCTACTTTTTCAATCCTAGCTGGTTACTCCGGGATCCAAAAATGAAGCTGCGAACAACTTACAGGGGCTTCACTAAAGCAGTGAATCTCTATTTTGATAAGATAATTCCCAAGATAGTACAACTCCAGGTAAATCTAAATTCCCCATTCCTATGACCAAGAGAAGTAATTACCTCAATTGATTTCCTGGATAAGGCTAGCCTATTTTCTTTTCTTTTTTTTTTTTTTAAAGATTTTATTTATTTATTTGACAGAGAGAGAGAGATAGCAAGAGAGGGAACACAAGCAGGGGGAGTGGGAGAGGGAGAAGCAGGCTCCCCGCTGAACAGGGAGCCCGATGCGGGGCTCGAACCCAGGACCACAGGATCATAACCTGAGCCAAAGGCAGATGCTCAACAACTGAGCCACCCAGGCGCCCCAAGTCTAGCCTATTTTCTATCACACAGAAGCAGAATTTGTATATAGCAGCTCGTTCTGATTCCTTATTTAAGAAATGTTAGGTTTTCATTACCTTGCTGTTTCCTATGTACTGCCCAACTGGAAGCCTTTTCTCTGGCAGTGGACTTGAAATTGCACTCCGTATATTTTTGTTTTCTCTTCTCCATTATATCTTTGCCCTCAGTCACCATAAATGGGAAATTAATGATAGTCCTCAAAATGTCTTAATTTGGCTGCTAAAGGTAGCTACTTGTCAGTCTTCACACATAATAGATTAGATGGGTGACCTTAGGTCAGCGATTTTGTAGAAGTTGCATTTTATTTGTTTTTTAACATCCCTCCACCACAATAAAACCATGGTGCCAAGCATAATCATTGTTTAGTGCTACTCTATTTCTAAAATGTTTGGATAATATAAAAAGGACTATATACTAGAGAGAAAATGAACAGAGGGAGGGAACAAAAATGTAACATCTATTAGGTATCAAACTTTCTGTGAGGCAATCAACATTTACCTAGCATATCTCATTGCCACAGTAATCATTTGAAGGAGATGTTATCATAGATTGAATGGAGGCAATGGCAAACTTATACGTGGGTAGGAGAGGGCTTCACAGAGTGTAAATTTGAAATTACTATGGAGAGTTGGTTCCTAACATTGTGAGTATCTCAGAGTTAATCAGACTCAGGAAAGCCATTAAAACCATTAAGTGACTGAAGAGTGTGAATCTGTGTGCCATTTGTGGGGGGGGGTGTAGAGATCATCCTTTACAAAAATTAGAGCTGTGCTGTCCAGTATAGTAGCCATAGCCACATGCAGTTATTTAAACTTAATTAAAATCAAGTAAAATTAAAAATTCATTTCTTCATTTACGTAGACACATTTTTAATGCTCAGTAGGCATGTGTGGATGGTTGCTACCATATTGGACAATGCAAACACGGAATATTTTCATCATCAGAAAGTTCTGCTGGACAGCATTGAACTAGAGTACTCAGCCCACCCCAAATCAGACTTCTTAGTCTTGAAACTCCTGGAAAACTAAATTAATAAACAGAACCTTGCTTAAGGAGCACAAAATCAGGGTCTGAGGAGATTGGGAGGCCTCAAAAGCAATTTATCATGGTGTTATAAATCAGCACTTGCAACTGAGTAGCCGCCCTTTACAACTTTTAGTATCTGGTTCTGGGTCTCTTGCTAATCCCAGGTACTGTCAATTTCTGGATCTTCCCTCTTTCCTTATCTATTCTCTAATCTGCTAGATTCATAATTGGATGGATGGGAAAGGGGAAGAGAGAAGCAGCTTTTGAAAAACTTTTTTGATGTTTGTCAGCAGAGGATGACATTTAATGGATTGAGGGAGCACTCTTTGGGGCTTTTTGTCCTCTTTTTTCCCCTGTCAGGATACAATGCAGTCAGTTATTCCTTGCTTGCTAAAAATTCTCCCATTTCAACTTTTTCCACCCAGTTGCTCCTGAGTCATGATGAACACAGGTTTTGATGTGCAAACACTTTGGTGGCACTTATACATAGTCCTGGCTGTTGTCCACATTCTTACTTGCGTGGTTGGTATGGAGTTTAATTCTTAGAAGTCAACACTCTTTCTATTTCTATACGCTGGGAGGAGTACCTCACGCTTGCCCACGTATCTCCAAGAGTAGGTTGAGGAGGTGCCGAAGTGGGCATGATGAAGCTTGACTACGGTGTGGCAGGTGCAAGATATGAAGAGGAAATATATTGGCTGGACTGGAGAGAACTATAAAGATAGGGGATGACTGATCATGTTACCCTCAACAGGGATGGGAAATATGAAAGATTTGCAAGAGGGCATAATTAGGAGAGCAGAAGGGGATGTGATCCAGCACAAAGTTGGGATTAATAGAGAACCATGAGAAACATCAACATTTAAGAGGTGGGTAGGGCAAGAGGAGCTAACAAAAGAAACTGAAGAGCAATGACCAGGGAGGCAGGCCAGAAACTAGGAGAGAGCAATAAGAGACGACAGAAGAGAGGGTTTCTTTCAAGAAGGAGAAGGTAGTCAAGGACGTCACATGTTGCTCAGAGAGATAGTAAATTTGGATTAAAATTTATTGTTTGAACTTAGCAAAGAGAAGGTAATGTTAATAATGTAGGTGGAATGGAAAGAATGGAAATGAGTAAAAGAGTAAAAGAGAATAAGAAGTCAGGTATTAGTACAGGAATATTTCAGAGTTTGTCCATGAAGGTGAAGGGGACAAGATAGTGGGAACTGGAGGGGGAAGTGGTCCAGGCAAGTTATTTTTAGCAGAGGACTTTGAGTCAATTTAAATCATTATGGGGAAGGTTTAGTAAAGGAGATGATGATACAGAAGACAGAAGGGTAGTCCGAAAAGAGTGAAGTTCCTGAAAAATGAGAAGGAGGTGAAACAACTCTTAGGATGGGAGACACTTGACTCATTTAACTGGTGTAAGGGAGAAAGGATGGAAGTGGAAGTCATGCTTAATGCATTGAATTATGAAGGAAAAGGGTGGGAGTCCATTAGTAAGGAGTACTAGAAAAGGTAGGATTCTAGGAGCAGTTGACTTCAGACTGTGGAGTGAGAGATACTGCCTGAACGATGGTTTAACTTGGAGTTGAGTTGAGGAGTATGTTATTTTTATGGCACTCTAAATATGTGTGTACAACAGCAAATTGAGAAAATCTAGCTTTTCCCACCAGTAACTTCACTCTCAAACTTTCATCTCCTTAACCCTCAGTATGGAAAGGGAGGCCCCATCATTGCTCTGCAGGTTGAGAATGAATATGGTTCATATCATCAGGATAGAAGATACATGTCATATATTAAAAAGGTAAGCGCTCCTTTAATTTTCCTCCATATTTACATATTTCTTTTCTCACTTTGTTGGTTTGTGGAGCAAACATATCCCGAGTAGCTATAGCGTGTGTGATACCATGGGATATAAAGATGAATGAGGTCCAGTTTAATTTTTCATGCATTTGCATCCTAGAGAGGAGACAAGAAACTACCTACACAACTCTCACGTAAGGCCAAGAGTGATGTTAAAATATTTTTCCTTTCTGTGAACCTCACAGCTCTCTTTTGGTTGGTGTTTGTATAATACATACTTTTCTATCCTCTTAGTTTCAATTATTCTGGATTCATGTGCTTAAGGAACATACCTTGTAAGCAGTATATAATTAAAATTTGTTTTTGTTAATTCATTATGAAAATTCTTGTTTTTTATATGAAGTATTTGGCTTATTTACATTTAATATGATTACTGACAGTTGCATTTAAATCTACCATCCTGTTAACTTTCTATTTGTCCTACCTGTCCTATGGTCCTTTCTTTTTTTTTATTCTTTTAGATTGACTATTTTTTTATTATTCCATTTTTCTTGTATTAGCTTATTAAAGATTTTTCACTTTTCTTTTAGTATTGGCCATAGAGACTACAGTGCATCCTAGAATTATTAATGTCTAATATAAATTAGTGTGCTTTCCAGTTCCAAGGCAAAGAAAGCACCTGAGAAGAGTTTAATTGCATTTTCCTCCTTTCTTTCCTCAGTACTGTTGTTATTTCTTTTAATGTTAAATATATTTTAGATACACAAGAACTTATTTTTATTATTATATGGAGTCATTTAGATTTATGTACATAATTTACTTTTTGTTGCTCTTCTCTCCTCTCTGCATCTCAGAGCTTTATCTCTCTTATCATTTCCTTTGCCTAAAGAACACCTATTTGTATTTTCTTTGTTGCAGGTATGCTATTAACAAATTATTTCACCTCTTGTTTGCCTGAAAATGTGCCTAGCTCATCAACATTTTGAAGGATATTTGTACCGTATGTAGAATTCTAGATTGGCAATTATTTGATGATTCTCTGGCGTACATTGTTTTTATTAAGAAGTTAGGTATGGAATTATCGTTCCTTTGAAGGTAAAATGTATTTTTCTTCTGGCTTCTTTTAAGATTTATTTTTTTGGTTTCCCTCAGCTTTCCTAAGATTTGGCTAGGTGTAGTTTTTATTTTTATTCTGCTTACATGTTTGCACCCTTCATTATGTGTCTTGAAGTCTTTAATTGGTTTTGGAAAATCTTCAGCAACTGTCAGCTCCATTTTTTTCTCTCTTCTCCTCTAGGACTTCTGTTATATAAAACTAGATATTTTCATCATATCTATTTTGCTCTTTTCTGGATGATTTTTTCTTTTTTTTTTAAGATTTTATTTATTTATTTGACAGAGAGAGAGAGAGATACAGCAAGAGAGAGAACACAAGCAGGGGGAGTGGGAGAGGGAGAAGCAGACCTCCCTCAGAGCAGGGAGCCCGATGTGGGGCTCGATCCCAGGGCCCTGGGATCATGACCTGAGCCGAAAGCAGATGCTCAACAATTGAGCCACCCAGGTGCCCTCTGGATGATTTTTTCTAAGATATCATGTAATTTATGAATTTTCTCTGCAGCTTTGTCTAATTTGATGTCAAACCTTGTTCTCAGTTTTAGATATAGTGATTTTTAGCTCTCGAATTTTCATTTGATTCTTTTCTGGTTTCCTTTTTTTTGTCCAAAATTTTCCATTTTTAAAAAACTCCTTGAACATATTAATTATAATTATTTCAAAGCTATGTTTGAGAAACCTAATGTCTAATTTCCTATGTATCTGTTCTGTTGTCTGTTTTTCTCATGGTTTCAGTAAAGTAATATCTTTTGGTATGCCTAATAATTTTTCAATCCAATTTATTTATGAAAATATGACTGAAATCATCTGAAGCTATTCAGATGGATTTATTTTTGCTTCCAGAAGGTAATTGAAATGATTTGGAGCTGGGCTTAAATTCTTATGAGAGTAAGTCTAATTCTTATTCACCCTCTCTCCTACGGGATAGCCCTTTGGGTCCCAGCTAAAAGCCTAGAATTGTTATGGCCTCTCCTCTGTTTTGGCTGTCTATGAACTTCAGTTTCTTTCCCCACATCTCATAAATTGCTGGGAAATCTACTCAGCTTTTCAGCCTCTCAACTGATGCTTGGGGAATCAATGTCTCAAGGAAAAAGTATGACCCATGCTGGATTCACCTCTCTAGGTCGCCTGCCTCTCTGAAAACTTGACTCCTCAAGTCCTGCCTTGATATAGATCTAGTATCTTCAAATAAGTTAATTTTTTTGTCCAGTTTATCTAGTTGTCATTAGCAGGATGTTTAGTCTGAAACAAAATAGCCCACAGTCCCTAGAAGGGGAGCCTATTGCTATCCCTATGAGTAGTGGTCCATGAATCCTTTTCATTATCAAGTGTTCTAGTTTAGATGAAAAGTTATATGGCCACTTACCAACCGGCCATATTGCTTGCTGGGGCTAAAGATGTGAAACATTGCATCTGTATAGGACCTATGGTAGTGGAAGGTTGCCTGTAATTAATATATGACATGCTGTCTCCTCTCACTCATTCTGTTCACCCTTCAGCCTTCCCTGTTTTTCAGAAGAGTTCAGGAAAAGCAAACCACCTTCTCATACTCAACAAGGATAATTGCAGGAATAGTTTCACCTTCAGGATATTGTGATCCATAGGCCCAGGAAAGGCATATCTTTGGCTTTTCTCAGTATTCATGGCCATAGTCTTAGTATTTGACCTTTCAAGTAAATAAGTTTCTTAGCCTCTTTCTCTCTCTTTGATTTAGACTCTCTTGGATTTATTTCTAAAGTAGAGCCATTAAAGTCTCATGCAGCAAGTGTGACTATAGATTGACTAAACAAAAATTTACCTGCGCTTTCCATTGACCAAGGGAAAATCAGCAATTGTGTGTGTGTTTCTTAATCCATCCTGTGAGTTGGGTCCACAGCATGTGGTTAATTTGAGCATGAGTGTGGAAGAGGAGGTTTGTCTTAAGCTCTCTGATGCACTAGACAAAATCTGGGATTCAGGTCCTTAGGGGAAAGCACTGTATTAAGGTGAATGAAAATAGTCCCACTGCCTCTTCCTTTAGGTCTGATATTTTAATTATCAGTTTGGTCTTTCTGAATGTGGCTGAGGCAGGGATGATTTCTTTTGTTCTAATTTACTAACTTACAAGTAGTTGGATGAAGGAATTAGAACTTTTTCTCCATTCCTCAGCTTCATTCCAGTATTTTTATCACCATCATTTTTTTCTAGAGAGAAGCCATTCCATGGCATCAGGGACAGTTCATTACCTTACCAATTTCTCCACAGGCCCTGATCACAAGAGGGATCAAGGTGTTCCTTATGACTGCTGATAATGGAGATGAACTGAAAAGAGGCCACTTAAAACGGGGTACAATTTCTCTTTATTCTATTTCCTGTACTAGTGAAGTCTGAAACAGAATAGCAGTCCTTCTGATGCTTTATTTCTCCTACTTCCCATGGATGCTTTATTTCTCCCCATAGTTTTCTTTTTAAAGATTTTATTTATTTGAGAGAAAGAACATGAGAGCATGCAGCCCACAAGTGGGGGGAGGGGCAAAAGAAGAGGGGGAGGGAGAAGCAGACTCCCCACTGAGCACGGAGCCTGACTGAGGGGCCTGATCCCCAGGACCCCGAGGTCACAACTTGAGCTGAAGTCAGCTGCTTAACTGACTGAGCCACCCAGGTGCCCTGAGGCCCCATAGTTTTTAGGAAAATTGGTGGGGCTGAGTTAAGGAACCAGTCCTTACCTTGCTACCCCACCAGCTGTTACCTTCAGAGCACCAACAATGCAGAACACTTGTTCCATCCTGTTTGGTCCATAGTGGCAAGAGTGGGGCCTTTACCTCTCTTTACCAGAGTAAAGACTATCTTTGTCATTGCCAAATGGCTGTGACCTAACAACAGGAAGTAGAGGCAGTGTCAGAGAAATAGTACTGTCATGGACCAAGCCCCAGGAACTCAGGGGCTGATAAGTTTGGGGAATCAACGTAAAAGGGAAACATGGAATAGAATTATAAGGAGGAAATATGGATTGATACTTAGGAAAATGGAAAAAGGCAATGTGCAGACAAATAGAACCAAAGAACAGTGCTATTTGCAGTTCTTTCACCCAAATAGCCTGTCAGGCATATTCTCCCCTGCTGGCCTTTCTCCCATCTTTTGGCATCCTTTGTCTTGTAGGAGAGGCAGGATAGTGTTCTGAATTAGAAGTCAGGAGATCTATAGTCAAGTTTTAGGTCTTAGGCTATTCATCTCTCTGGGCTGAGTTTCTTCATTTGGCTTTTATTTATTCATCAGCATAATGTGATTTATTTTAACTGCCCTTATTGTCTGGGTCATTCATTGTAAATGCTACATGAAGGGATGTATGTGAAAGCACTTTGTATGGAGCAGTTATGGACCCACATGCAGGATCATATGTTTATTATTAACCACAATCAATAAAAGGTTAATGAGAACTACCTGTGAGGTGTATGTGCAGAAGGTGTGGAGGCCCAGGTCTTCATCCTGTGTCCAGGAGCATGTTCTCTCTCTGCTCAACAGTGCTTGTAGGAGGACCTTATAAACAATGTCTCCTTTTCCTCCACAGTACTTTCTACTGTCCACATGAAACATATAAAGAAAGAAACTTATGATACGCTCTTATCAATTCAGGTAAGGACATTTCAGAGATGGGAGATGTTTTGATTCTTGCTCACACTAGAACTCATTTTTGGGGGAAATTCTCAGCAGCGATTCGTTCAGTTAAAACCTGGATCTGTTACACCCTTGAAATGCCTGCTCTAGGTGGTTTGGGGTATAATTAAATCAAGTTCAGATGCTTACAGTGCCTGGCCCATAGCCCCTTAGAAGGATACAGAATGAGAAACATAGCATACTATCAGGGCAGCATCAGTAGGAATCCTCCTATCAATCCAGGGGCTATACCCTACCTCGTGACAGCTCAGCTTTTAGGGAATGGGAACCATCCTTGCAGAGAAACCTCAGTCTCAGGGGAGGAATCAACCAGTACCCTTTATCACAGCTCTATAGGTATAGATTCCAGGTCTACTAAAGGGAACTCTTGGTTTCAAGATACACTGCATGCAGGAATCTAGGTCTACACTGGGAATTTATATATCATTCATAGTCCTCCAAACCAGATATAATTTGCTAATCAGAGGTAATTTTGATCATAACATGGTTATGATAACATGGATAACATTCTGCCTTTATCTGGTTTTCAGATAGACCTGGTTTTGCATGGGCAAAGAGAGAGGTTTTTGTTAGCCCTTTACTCATGACCCCATTCACCTGTAACTATTTATGATCCAGTGAGAAAGACAAAGAATGTAAATAAACACAAGATAGGAAGTGCTAATTGCAGTAAAACTATTAATGGGTAACCGGAGATCAGAGAGTGGCATAGATTTCTACCACCAGCTGAGATCCATGGTTACATGTTTCATTTTGCGCAGGACTGAGCTATGTGATATTAGCAGCAAAAGAAGAATATGTTAATTACCATAAATATAAAATAATGCCTGGAATTCTAAAAACTGTTAAATTCCTGATTCTCTTCCCCTGTGGTCTGAGACAGCACTAAGATTTAGAGAAGAGTACAAAGGGAGATGTATCCGGCCTTATAACATCTGGGCCAACATACAGGTAGCTCAGAGATGTGCAGGGATTAGGGTGAGTGCATTCCAAGAGAATATGAAGAGGGACTATAATTCCCAGAACAAAGTAAACACTCAGATAGATGCTAACATTATGATAATAGAGGAAGAATTGGGGGGGGACAATAAAACCAGTGGAATCCAGAGTTAAAAGTGATATGTTGTCTATAATTAGCAAAGTTCTGAAAATGAGGTCATTTGTTTATTTATTGAGTCAGTCAATAAATGTTTTTAGCATCTACTGTGTACCAGTTAGGTACTTTTCAAGGCATTGTGTATAAAGCAGTGAATAAATCTATAAAAGCAGAATTTCTGGAGCTTATAATTTAGTGGTAAGAGACAGACAATAAACAAATAAAGGCAAATATAGAGTATGAGGTAGTAACGAGCTAGAAAGACATATGATAATATTTATATACACAGCTTTTAGTTTATGTAATCCTCCCATTTTTTCATGTTTATTTCTTATATTACCATGTTAAAAACTATTAATCTTATTCTCATTTTGCAGATGAGGAAGTCATGACTTAGGCTAAATTACTGATTTTAGATCACAGGTGGATCTATCCACAGGTGAATAATCAGATCATATAATAGAATAACCCAGGGTTAAATTTAAATCTTCTGCTTCCAAATCCCATGCTCTTCTCACTTTCTTATATCATTAACCATTTAAACGCCTTCTGTGGTGAGAGAATGATTTGATACAATATAGGAGCAATCACAGGACTTAAATAGTGAAAATGAGTACCCATAGCTTTAGAAAGTTCATTGTAATTTGTTTCTAGTGCATTTCTTATGTGATAAAGTGAACATGAGAGAAACACAATTCCTAGGACAGATGTTGTAACTGAATATGGGGAGAAAGCAGAGCTTTTGAGTCCCTATTTTGTTTCTGTGTTCTCTATCAGAGATTCCTCTCCAAACTGGACAAGGTAGAACTACATAGTTAAGGGGGAGCTAAAGCTGGAAGTGGATGAGAAATTAGATGTTTCAAATTTAGATCAGAATGAGCACATTATTTTGAGTGGGTACTTTGTGTCAGATCCTGTGCTAGGCTCTGGATATATACTGGTGATGAAAAAGATATCTTCTTTGTCCTTGTGGAGGCTATTTCCAGGATTGTTCAATGAGTATGGGGGCTCTCTTGTTGGCTTTGTTCTGACTGATCCTCTTCTGAGGGAAGATACAGAAGCTGTGCTTGTCAAAGGTCTAGATGAGACAGTGCTGGAAAGGAGTGCTCATCCACTTACAAAAGATGGGATCTTTTGTATCACAGTAGGCTGAAGTTAACACAGAGTAATTATAAAGTCCCTGCATTAAAATTAACAACAAAACAACAGCAACAAAGCTAAAATACCAAAATGCAGACGAGAAGAGATCCATTCTGATGGCAGTTTATATGAAAGATTTAGGATGCTATTGATGGCAGCCTTCACCTAAATCGAATCTGTGACATCTACTGCCAATAGTTTTGAAAACTTGGGTTTTATTACTATGAGTGACATTACTACATTTCTTCATACTGGTAGGAGCATAATTGAAGTATTTGTTTTTGTGTTTCTGCTCAGGCCATTTTGTCTTAGGAGATATTTTAGCAAAGTGGAATGCTTCCAGGAAATGTAATTTAGGATTTCTCTAAAAATAAATGAAAGGAACTGGGAGTATAGTTTGGAGTTGACCAAGATGGTGACACAGGAGACTCCTGAACTCCCTTCCTCCCACATATACCCCAAATGTACAGCCACCCACAAGCAATGCCCTCTGAAATAGGTCTAGAAACTAGCTGAATGACTCTACATATTGTGAGAATTAAAAAATATCCACATCAAAATAGGTGGGAAAGGCTAAGACACGTTCTCACCATAAACCTCACTCCCTGATATAGTGTCACAAACTAGAGGGAACCCTCAGCTCCTAGCTACTCCCTGAGGAGTGGAGGATTCATACCCAACATCTAGTGCCCCAACTTTTAAGACTCCCACTGGAGGTATGGACTTCTAAACACCTAGGTCCGAAAGCTGTGCCCATGAGACCCACAAGACTATAAAAAAAAAAAAGAAGAAGAAGAAGAAGAAGCAATTATAATGGCCTCATGAGCACTAATCGTGACTGTCCCTCCAGGGCTCAGCACAGAGGGAAAGGCAAAATCATCCATGTCCCAGTCTGTCCCCAAAGAGGTATATCTGCGACTTTAAAAGTTGCTGCCTGAGGGCCAGGCTTCTAATTTAGCAGTCAACTACAGGCTGGCTGCAATTTTCCAGTCCTGGGAAGCTGGCAAACACATTTCACACCTTCTTTCAGTTCACGTCAGTAATAAAACCAAGTTCCCAGCATCTCCCTGGATGGAGCTTGTGCACATATTTGGTGCCTAGCTTTTGCAGTAGCAACCTGAGGAACAGGAGGCTGGATCACCTGGTTCTAATAGCCAATGGCGACTGTATTGACAGGTACCACAGTACCATAGCAAACAGAGTCCTTAACAAACACAGAAGCATCTCCTCCCCACACTGTGGCTATATATACCTGGGCCCAGCACAGAGCATGTAAGCTAAAATGCCCATCTCCCAGTTTCTTCCTGGAAGGAGCTTAAAACATACTTTCCTTGCTGGTGCCTGAGAGTACAGCCTCTAATCAGCCTGCAATTGGTTGCTGATTATGATCCTCTCCTTTGGGACACTGTCAGCTCTTGGCACATGCTCAACTACTGTGAGCCACTAAAAACAAAGAAGACAGCTTAGACAATCACAAAAGTTTGAGAGACATCTAGGAACTTAGGCTGGGCTGATCAACAAGGCTCATCTCCTACATGAGATCATTCTGTCAAGATGGGGAGAGATGGCTATTTTATCTAATACACAGAAATCAGCAGTCAAAGAAAATGAAAAACACACACACACACACACACACACACACAGAGGAATAAGTTCCAAACAAAAGAAGAAGAAACTCCAGAAACAGATCTTAATGAAATGTAAATAAGTGCTTTGCCTTATAGAGAGTTCAAAATAATCATCATAAAGATACTTACTGAAGTCAGGAGTGCAATGTATATGCAAAGTGAGAATTTCAACAAAGAGAAAATATAAAAAAGTACCAAACAGAAATCAGAGAGCTGAAGAATACAATAATTGAACTGAAAAATCCAATAGAGGGGCTCAACAGTAGAGTTGATGAAGTGGAAAAAACAGATCTGCAAACTCAAAGACAGGGCGGTAGAATTCATCCAATCATAAGAAAATGGAAAAAAAGTGTGCTGATAGCTTAAGGGATTTATGGGGCACCATATGGGACAAATCAAACAGATGAATATACACATTATAGAGATCCTGGAAGGAGAAGAGAAAGGGGGCATAAGGCTTATTCAAAGAAATAATGACTGAAAACTTACCTAGCTTAAGGAATGAAACAGACATCCAGATCCAGGAAGCCCAGAGAATGTCAAATAAAATGAATCCAAAGAGACTTACACTGGGACACACCAATATTAGTTTGTCAAAAGTTAAAGACAAGGAGAAAATCTTAAAAACAGCCAGAAAGATGCAACTTGTTACATGTAAGGGAACCCACATAAAGCTACCACAGGTTTTTAAAAAAAATTTTATTTAAATTCAATTTAATTAACATATACGGTATTATTAGTTTCAGAGGTAGAATTCAGTAATTCATCAGTTGCATACAACACCCAGTTCTCGTTACTTCAAGTCCTGTCCTTAATGCCCATCACCTAGTTACCCCATCCCCTACACACCTCCCCTCTAGCAACTCTCAGTTTGTTCCTTATACTTAAGAGTCTATAACAGTTTGCCTCCCTCTGTTATTTATCCTTCCCTTCCCCTATGTTCATTTGTTTTGTTTCTTATATAGAATGAAATCATACGGTATTTGTCTTTCTCTGACTGACTTATTTCGCTTAGCATAATACCCTCTAGTTCCATCCACTTCACTACAAATGGCAAGATTTCATTCTTTTTGATGGCTGGGTAATATTCCATT